AAACATAACGGAGCAAATATGTTTGGGAAAGATATAGATAAATGTTTCAAATGAAAGTTGTATAGTCTGGAGGGATGCAAATTATATTGATAAAATTGATTTTCGAAAAAATCAATTTTTCAACATTATATAGAAGTTACTATCACTTTATTTTATTGAATTATATAATTTTTTTATATAAAATAATTTTTCTAATTATTCCGCATGTAAAAGTATTATATATATGTTAAAGTATTATATATATATATAGTAAAATTATAAAAAATCAATAGTTTAAGAAATATTTTATATTTTATTCTGACACATATTGATATAAAATATTAAATATTTCGTAACTATTAATTTTTTAATAATCGTACTTTAATATTTTTATAAATAAAATAATGAGCTGTATTAATTAGTGTAAAGAAAATACATAGTTTAAAAAATATTTATAGACAAAATAGATAATTTTTTTAATAAGCAATTACGTTTTCTTTATACTTGATTCATCTCATTATCTTATTCATAAAGGTATTAAGGTACGATTATCAAAAAATTAATAATTTATAAAATATTTGATATTTCATGTCAATATATATGTGTCAAAATAAAATAAAATATCTCATAAACTATTAATTTTTTGATGTCTCTATCTTAATACTTTTATACGCAAACTAATTGAAGGAATCATATATTATGCAAAAAGAAATCTGACAATTCCATTAAAAAAAATGGATGTGAAGGTGATTCATATCTTTTGTAACATCTAGTGACATCCTTCATATCTTTTTGACACCTAGAAAAAAAACAACGTGACCAAAATATGTACTTCCTTGAAATCGTTCAACTTTTATCTGAAATATTTTTTTGTATCTTATATATTTTTCAAGATATTTACTTGAGGAAATTAAAATGAGACTCTGCATACGCAGAAGTACGCTTTATTATTAAACTAAAAAAATTATAATTTTTCCATTGTCTTGTAGCACATTAATGGCATAGTATCTGAAATTCTGAATTAAAAAATTTTATTTAGTTCTTTTTTTCGCCTTTTTTCAAAAACTGAGAGTGTGCCTCTCTGCATTTTTCTTACGACGCCCATGATTTTTACGTACCTGCGTTAATGAGTTCCGCGTTCGATCGGAGCGAGCTGGTACGAAATATTATAAATTATTAAACACTCACGACCACGATGAGCCTTAAATTATATAATTTAAATTTTATAAATATGTAGAACAATTGGTTCCAAACTAGTCACAGAATCTGTCGTTAAAATGTATAATTTGATCAAAACGCTTCAACAGCCCAGCTTGCTCTAATCGGCGGCAAAACGGAAGTGCTGGGAAAAAGGAGCACTATTATTCGAACGGTATTGAAGATACTATTTTCTTAATTAACAAGCCGGTCGAAGAAGGAAACTCGGCGCCTTCCCACTTCTGCGGTGGCGATTTTTAATGGACGAAAACAATTTATTGTGCGAACTAGTCGAAGGTATCGGGAGGTATTAACTCTTCGTGGCGGCGATCATACAAAGTGTTTTTTGTATTATAATTGTTTTAAAGTCCTAGTTGCATATATATCTATATATAAGGGATAATTGCAAGAGGGTAAATATTGCATCATTGTGTGTAAAACACGATGCTAAATCTGTTTGAAATCCTTTTTAATTTTAAATTGTAAAATGTGCCCCCTTCTAAACAATATCAATAATTTATATCGAATAGTATCAACAGTGTTGTAACAGGTATCTTTTGTAAGGTATCTAGGTATACTAGGATACTCTGTGGAAAAAGTACCTAGTGACAAGTATAGATACATTTTTTTAAATTATCTAGATATAGATACAGATACATCAGTAATATCTGAAAGATTTAATTATTTTTTAGATATTTCTTACAAAAAAAAACTGCATAAACGAATTTTATTTTGCGAACTACTACTTATGTAGTACTTATATAAATGTTTGGATAATTGTTATTTGTCATGCTTTTTATTAAATAGTAGTGTATTGGAAAATCGATTTCTTTTTTAATTAAAATTATGTTTACAATATAATGACATAATGTATAGATCAATGACGTATATACATAGACCAAGAATTGTGTTCGTAGCTTGAAATCGGAAGATGATAGTTTGATAGGATCTGTGATCCCATTACGTCTTTTTCTATCTTCAAAGAAAGAAGAGATAGCATGGAACTTCAATGGTCACTGAAGTCAATCTTAAGTTACTTAAAACTTAAACTGTCAATTTCCAACTTCAGCTTCCATCACTGAAAAATACGGAAAATCTGATCTATGTACTGTTGATATATATAGATAAATTTCTTGTATTTAAATTTAAAAAGTATCCTACAAAGCTACTTATAAAGACCTAGGTAATGCACTTGGGTACTGCTAAAGTATCTAAGTAATATACTTAGATATTTATATCCATGATAGAATAAGAAGGTGAGCTATTGCGCATAATAGTGGAAGAGAATGGGGAACACGAAATGACAACTAATATTGGACTCGTACAAAGCGCACGAATTTCAAACACGCATTACTGATCGGAACTGAAAGTACAGTATATTTATTGAAAATAGCAACAATATATTAATCCAATCGTAAAAATACAAAAACTTTCAAAATATAATATAATAAAACATAATAAATGTAACATTACACATTTTTTGTTTTCTTAGCTTTTCCAATTGTTTAGTCAGCCACTTACAAATGCCTTAAAACTTTTCTTCTCAAAAACTTTATACACATACACAAATTGTCGTTAGAAAATAATTTCCACCTAATTGCGTGCTCACAAAAATGGTAACAGCATCAATCATATTAGATTTCCATGATACGAATGTGGTTTTGGCTGTCAGTTTCCCACTATTTTTAAACTACTGCACATCCATGGAAATAGCTCATTTTTCTTATTTCACCATGTTTATACCTAGATATGTTACAACACTGGGTATCAACAATTCGATTTTAAATCCCGTTAGAAGATAGTGAACGTAATGCAACGGAGTTGCATATCTTTACTTTTCTTATTCTTTTATCTGCTCTGAAATGTGCCCTTTCGCAATACTTGCGTTAATCCTCGTGAGAATCCATAAAAACTTCGACCGGATCCGAAAATATTCAATATTTCGCATGCCGCGAAGAGCCGCTCGAGCGCAGTTTGCGTAGCGCAATGCAAACAAGAGGATCTATAACGCGCATACCTACATACGAGAACCTCTTAACGTCTGTTCCCACGCAAAATGTTGACTCTGCTGAGCTTACAGATATTAAACGAATATTAAATGTCTTGTTAAAAAAATTATGTGAAGTACATATTCACTATTTAACACGAGGCCTACGAAGATAGATTCAGAATATCGCGAATATTAAGTGCCATAATTAAAATTGAAATCCAAAACTCCGTAGATGGAAGAATATAACTCGGCAAGCTTTGCCTAGCAAATAATTTGATAATAGAATAAAAATTCATAAATTAACTCTAGACATAAAGTATGTAGAAGCTTGTCTTTGGATCTGTTCTCGTAGGTCAATGGTTTCCTAGTCAAACGCCTATCCATCTTTTCATTTCTTCGGTATCTAACAAGAATATATAAAATATCTTCACTGTAACTTCAGGACACTCGAAACATATACTTTTTTAGCTGCATATCTATTTAATGAAAGATGATCACTTCTGTGAATTATGTATATCCTTGCTATTAGTCCGCAAAGCAAACAATTTACCGAATTTCGCGATAAACAACGAAAATTACAAAACGTCGAAACGACAAAGGCGTTCAAGAGGTTTAAGCAGCTGCGAGAGAGATAGGAGAAATAAAAAATGAGTTTTTTGAACTTATAGAAGGCATATTATATGGGCTTGTCTCTTATTAGGCTGAAACTTACGTAAGTACCAGAAATATATGATTACGTTGTATTTAATACTTTAAACGCATTGTTCTCGAAACTATATCTTTCAAACTAGCTCCCATGATTTCAAACAAATTAATGAATCCATCGACTTTGTCTTTTAGCTACATATTTCAAATACCTCTCTCTACCGTTGAAAGCATCGAAATTAAAAGATATTAATTTGTTCATTTTATTTTTAACATAGATTTAAAAAATTTTAGCAAGTTTTTAAGCGCTTTTATATGCATTATAATTATTTAAAAAAATAATTCTTTTTTTATAATTCTGCTTTCAATGATAATTGTACATCTCTAGATTAATAATTTTATTCGATATTTCATTTCAGATAACTGATGATCGAGATTTTATGGCAGCCCTGAGACGATGCGTGTTTGGATACGTCCCGTGTTTATTGTTATGATTACTACAATTTTCATTAAGTACTTTAATTTGAAAAATTCCTGAGTCTTAATAAAATATGTACTACTATGCATATAAAGTTTTAAATCAATCACCTGCATAATTTCCGTTAAAAAAATTCATAAAAATAAATAGCCTTTTTAGTTCACGAAAAAAAACTGTTCCCTTACGAATATTTACTTGCTGTTTTCTAAAAAAAAATAAAAACCAAACAAATATTAAACGGCATAAGCGTTTTAAACAACTTATTATGATATTCTTTTGAACAAAAAAGTTTTTAATTAATATAACGCTTTTTTGCAGATTTTCAATGAAATTTAATATTTAAAGATTCATAAGAAATTTATAAAAAAAATATGTCCACAAAGAAAGAAAACGATAATCATTTTACAATAACAGTTCACATTTTCTCGAACGCCGGAATATAAAAACACCCCAAGTGATTCCTGGGTTAAATGTGATGTCGATCACGAACCACGATACGTGGTATATCCGAAAGGATTCAGCAGCAGAGGAATGTGATAATGCTCGTTGGGATGTTGTACGTCGAACATCACGTCAATCATCGGGTACATAAACGCGGTTGCGATTCGCTTGAAATAATCGTTTACCCGAAACTCAATCTTGAATCTGCCAGAACCAGGATTCTCTTGCATGTTTTGCAACAGATCCCCGCAGCGTCCATTCGAATCTGTCTTGCTATGAAAAATAATTGAAAATTAATAATGATGAATAAAAAATACAGTCAATACCTATCTCCGCTTAATAATCTCAATATTGTGTAGGCTCTAATGATATAAATAAAAAGTAATTAAAAGCCTCTGAGAATCAACGCTAGTTATAGTTGAGTATAAAAATTTATTATTATTAGTTACAAATTCATTTCGATCCGCACGTTTAGGATCTTCCTCTTCAGTAATAAAAGTCTTTAAGTATATAGTGAGCTTTCTACATTACTTGGAAAACTGTTGCGTTACGTGAAAAAAACGTAAAAAACGATGTCACCGTTAGGTAGGAGCAATCATATGCAAAAGTATTTTAATACATGCTCAGTCCTGTATATGTATATAAAAGGAATGCATGCGGAGCATGCTTTCCTTTTTCAAATGAAATTCTTAAATGAAACATTTATACATATACAAAAAATATATAAGACAATGCAAAACGTACCTTTCTTTCAAAGAAATCCATTTGTTATTTTCAAACTTATAGAGACACACAAACAAGCCATCAGCAGGCTGACCTCTGCTAGTATCCAAAACATGCGTAGTTATACTCAATTTTTCCTTTCGATTTACAGAAGTACTCATCTATCGTATAAAAAAACACAAAAAACATAAACGCAAATTACACAATAAACTGCAAGAAAAATTCATAACTTCATTCTTCGTTTTTAACTTTGGATTTCTATATCACATTGTAGACTAGCGATAATATATTTTGTATTACGCTTAAATAATAATTTGAGTAATCTATTTGAAAAACGATTAAAGATTGACAATTATAAGTAGAAATTAGATTGATAAGAATAAATGAAGTAAGGGAAATAATACTACTTTTGATCGAAGGGTTTCTTATTATTTAGAATAGAAAGCCTATTTGAGCCAGCACAGGACGTACAGGTGTAAAGTTCATTTATTTAAAAAGATATATAACGTAAACGTGAACATTTCGTTTCGTTTCGTTTCATAAATGTTTAGATCCTCCTCAGTGCAAATAAGTCGAACACTAATGAATACAAAATATTAGTAATCTGTACAATTGTGATATGTTTTAATCAAAGTGAACCATTTTTAAGTTGGATCAAACGTGAATGCATTGTCCAACTAACTTCTTGAACATTAAATTATTCGATTTGCTGAATAAAATAATAAGTTAACCGAAACAAATATTTTTCAAAAAACAACAAGGTCTTATAAATGAAAGTGTAACTTACATGGGAATTGAGATCATTATATAGAACGAACAATATTAAGCATTATCACCAATAATATTCATTAAACTGTCTGATTTACTATATATTATAAATTAAATATGCATCAGAGTAGTCACTTCAATAAAATTAGAAACTTACATGAAATAACAAGAATGTCATTTGATCTGACAAGATTGTTTTTTAAATTGAGACTCATGGTTTCCTCTTTTTCGTAGGTTTTCAATATAAATCATAGATGAAAGTATTATCCTTTTTAATCAAACATTCAAAAAATTTATTGAATTGCCTCCTAACAATTTTATGATAAATTTTAATCTAGGGTAGTAGGAATTAAAAATATTCAAAAGCTCATTTTTGTAAGAATTGTCAAGAGTAAGAGCAATATCGTCCACGTATCTTACATAAAAAGATGGAGCGACAAAATTTTTTTTTTAACTAACATGAGTCCAAGTTTTGTATCACAATATTAGTCACAATGGGGGAAAGTGATGAACTTGCTGGGTATACTATATATTTGTTTGTAAAACTTATTATTAAAAATGAAAAATGTGTGTGTGTAATTAAGTACTAGATTTACCGCTTTAAAAAATTTCGTCTTTGTGATATCAGTATTAAGGGACTGCTCAATATTAAGGGACCATCTCTTTTTAATAAACTTTCCAAAACTAAATCAATTGGTATATTAGTAAAAAGTAAAATTACGTCAAGAGATAAAAATGAAGCATTCTCCAAAATTGTCAAATTAGAAATATTTTTTGTCAGTTAGAAACTGTTACTCGTAAAGCTTTCTGTAGACGCGGTAGACTTTTACTTTATTCTAAAAAAAGGAGCTAAATCATGAAAGAGACTCCCAACAAACGAAAAGCTAACGACACGAAAAGGATATCCAAATTTATGTATTTTTAGTAAACCGCATGCACGAGATAAAATTGGATTTGTAAAATTTAAATACTTGTAACAAAAATCTAATATAAATCCATAATGCTTGCAATTTTTAAGTACCTTTAACTTAGCGATCCTTATTCACAGAATTATGTTTTAAAATCGTATACGTCTCAGAGTCTGCAAACGACTCCATTTTCTATGTATGTTTTGTCCAAAGCCACTATTATTGCCGATAAAGGCAATAGTAGTGGCTTTGAACAAAACAGTGTGTGTGAACAAAATTTGTAAATTATTAAAACCAATGTTTTAATCCATTTTTGTGGAAAGCCACATTATCACCCTTTTCTTCGAGCCATTATGCTGTGTCGCCACATTTTTATAAATAGTATCCTAAGTAATAAATGTTTCGTAACTTTGCATTTAGAATCGATCGAACAATATTTTGAAGAACGTAATTGTTAAGTTTTAATTTAAATATCGATTATTAATCAAGTTATTGTATAATATATAAATGTGGTGTCACCTTCTCCTGTATTATCTTGCGTTGCAAACTTGAAATTTTTGTTATTTTGTTCAGATTCAATTTACGTTTCAAAATAAATCGAATAAATGCACAGTTTACAAAATTGATATATTTGCAAATATTTACATATAAATATAATTAAATATTTAAGATTCGCTTCGAATGAAAAAATGAGATTATTTTTCTTATTTGATGAAAGATAAATTTAAATATCAATGTAATTTTTTATTAAATATATAAATTCCTATAGATTCTACATTTTCTAATTTTTTTAAAGCCTATCCAATATACATATATTATGTATTAATATGTTTTATACACACACACACATTACATTTTACATATTATACATTACATTTTCGAATAATTTGAGGAAACGGTCTGATCTACTTCACTGTCACCACACTTAGTATTCACGAATATAACTAACTACGTTCGAACATATACAGCTTTCAAGACCGTCTAAATATAGATAAAATGGATCAAAGAGGTCAAGGAATGTGGGCAATGCAATTGAAAGATTGACATTTATCTCTAGTATACATTCATTAAAATTTAATAATGTTGTTTGTTTAAAAAAATACAGTACGTAACATACAAGTGAAAATAATATTTATAAGAACAAAATTTTATGTGAGAATAAAAAGCAAATAAAATATTGACATGTACTTATAAAAAACTCTCGAAAACTAACATATTTTCATAGTTGTAGTTTGATTCAAAAACTTATTTCATTGAATTCATTATTGAAACTCAGCTTACATTAAAAATATTTCTTAACTGCACGTACCAAGTCATACCTTATATATATAATGTAACAATCTTAACAGCTATCTATGTAAATACATTTTGTTGATTATGCAATACATTTTATCTGCAAAAGCATTAAAAATATTTTATTATTTCATTTATATTTGGACTATAATTACTGTTTATAATTTAATATAATTATATACAGAGTGTAACTAAAATAAGATAACAAACTTCAGGGCAGAGTTCCCCACATTAAACATGAAAAAAGTTCATACGAACAAACAGTTGACCGTAAACTCACTATTAGTGAGATACAGTTTATTTATAGGGGAAAATAAAAAAGTAATAGTTATTATTATTTAATATTATTTATGTTCAATTGTTAATTACAATAAATGTTTGAAGTGTCTTCCATTTGATTCAATACACGCTTGGACACATCGGATCATTGGATTGTCACACTCTTTCAAAGATGCCAGAGCAATTGCGAATGATATTACAAGCATCAAAGATGAGCATAGCATATCTTCATTAGCGATTGGAATTTCATAAACTAAGGATTTCAAAATCCTTAGTGCAGACAAAAATCTGGAGGATTTAGATCGGCGGCTGGTGAACATAATATTTAAACATTTTGAGCTATGTCTCAGTAACAATGGATTTACGGACATATGTTCATATGAATTTTTGTTATGTTCTAATGTAAGGGCACGGCTCTGAGGTTTGTTACATTATTTTAGTTACAGCATGTATATAGTATATGTATATGATATATGCATATATGTATTTTGAACACATATTCAATACATATACTAACTTATTTAATTCTCTCTCCCCCCCTCCCCCCTCTCTCTCTCTCTCTCTGCGATATAAAAATAATAAAATACACTCGCAGTTTCATCTTCATAAAAATTGTGAAGTATTTCTTCGCAACTATATCTATCACGAAAGAATATATTCAATAGCACATCTTACGTACCACATCTTACTTACGTGCCACGATAGGTTGTGTAACCAAATGGACTTAATAAAAGAGGTATATGATAATGAGTTGTTGGTTTTTTTACATCAAATACAATCTCGATGAACGGAAACATGGTATCTATTCTTTTCAGTGTAAAATATTTATCGACATCAAAATGAAGCTTATAACGACCGATCGTACCTTTTATCTTTTCCATCAAATCATCACAATGACCTTCTGAATTTGTACTACTGAAAAAAAAATTTTTTTTTACCACATTTATATTTACA